CAGCAAAAACGACTTGATTCAAGTGATGATTGACAAAATATCGGGGTCTCTGCGATCTTTGAGCGTGACATTTTCAACAGGAATCTCAAATTGGCTGTTCTTTGTTTATATAAATGCATGCATTCAATTTCATTCGGCTGTGCGCATTAAACTTAACAAAGCGCTTAAATGGAAGAGTTAAAACAGAGAAAGAAAGGTTAAAAAAACCTTGCCTCAACTTCCCTTTCCCTTTCTCTCTCTCTCTCTCTCTCTCTCTCTCTCAAATTGATAGTGTTGAAAAGGTTGACAAATACGGGTAGCTGTATCTGTAAATTGACATTATAAAAAGGTGAAAGTGATTTGAACTGAAACCTTAATTGAATAGATATGAGGGCAAATCCCATTTAGAGCTGAGCTCCGTAGCCTGCAATTTTGTTGAGCTCCATTGCCTTCTATCTTTCTGAATGATTAGCACATCCGTGGCTAGATTAAAAGCTGTCAATTCTAATAAGAATATATATTTGAAATAATTCTCTCTCACACTCTCTCTCGATATCTCTTTCTCCCCCTCTCTCAAATTGATAACATTGAATAGGCTGACAAAGCACAAAAAAGACAGACATTGCCAGGCATATCCAATATACAGTTGAGCTCCATCTCCTTCCATCTTCCTCTGTCTTAACCATTAGCACTATATATATAATTCACTGAGGGCAAGTAGATTTTACAATTATATTCTAACTATTTAATTACCACCCCCTGACACCCCCTATCTCTCTCTCAAATTCATAACATTGGATATTCTGACAAAGCGCAAAAAAAGACATACATTGCCAGATATATTATTGTGCAAATCTGAACGGTCCGCACACTTTTAGAGAGTATTGCCCAGACTGATGTCACTACACAGAGCACACACCCAATGCATCGAAATCTTACCACAAGGGTACAGGACTTACTGTCCTTTCGGGAAATGCTACTGCAACTTAACAAAAACCACCCAGTCCGTTCAGAATGAGGGGTTAGGTACCACAAAAACGCGTTTTTCAACGCCATCAGCGAACACCAAACTGGTTTTAGCAGTTCAGAATACCTCCGAAGGACCCACTGTAAATAGGAAAACATCGTCGTCTGTTTCTCTACTGAATTGGGGACCATGACTGTTTCTGCGTAGAACACTGAAACCGTGTGGGTTTCTTATTGAGGTCAAATTTCGGCTGTACCGCTCAATTCGCCAAAACAAGGACGTGGACTACACTACAAAGCATACAATAAAAGTTGTCGAATGTAGAAATAAAGCAATGAGATACCAGTATTTAATTTAAGCAATTCGCTGTCTCTTTTATTAATATACATTATAGCACAGGTGCCTATTGACAGTTCATCCTTATTAATTTATGTATAATAAAAAAATAGATGACATTTTTACATTGCGTGATGGGGAATACGGTTTAATGGGAATTGGCAAAGCATTAGAATTAATTTCTAACTTCACGGGTAGGGAATTTACTTCAGAACATCCTGCATGACATGAGTATGACATATCATTGCCATATTAAAATATGTATATATATGTTTACTGTAATTAACAAGTCTAGACGGCGTCAATGGCGATCCAGCGCAATGTATACTTAATCATGTGCTTAAAAGCAAACGCTAAGAAACAGCAGGAAAAGTCGAAAACCAGTTCCTTACCTTTACAGTCACAGTGACGGTAAAAGTATCCAAAAATAAACTTGACGACCAAATTTGAAAACATTTACACTATCAAATCCATACATTCTTTACTGTATATATGAAGGAAATGGACTATTTTGCAATGTTTTTATCATTATTATCAAATTTTCCACCCGGCTTGGATTCATACACTCTTTGCATCGTAGTTAAATAAAATCACTAATGAATAAAAAGTATATAAAAAGACACACGTGAACAAATTTAAAATAAAATAACAAAAATTCAAGATCAAAGATGAAATAAAAGCCTATCAGTCAATTTTGGAACTTTTATATCGCACGGGTTAAAAAGTTAAAACTCATTGATCGTTTGGTTTTAATTTTAAGCCTTTTGAATATTTCAGATCCTAATGGGTAACGGGCCCTGTAATGTGATCTTTTTTATAAATCAATAGTGTGAATTGCTGTGATCAAAATGATTATTTCGTCACGATAAAACTTACCTTGTCAGAGCAATGGCGAGTAGGTTTCACTCAATGGTGTTTCAGTTGCGTGATGCCCCTCTAAAAGGTAGCAGCGCATGAGAAATCATCCAATCACGAGCATGTTCATCGGAATAAATGTGTTTGTTGTTGCACCTATTTGCTAAAGTCATTTGCAGGTTTAAGGTCCGCCTTTTCCGTTCAGAAACAAAAATTAACTATTTAAATAAATGGATGACAGAGCAGCAGTAGTCTATTGGACTATCATTTTTTTTAAATTGAATATATATATATATATGTTTATCTATCAATCGCAAACGTATCACGCTTACAGGCTTCTTGAAATCAGAGCTTTTGTCGACCAACAGCTCTTCAGCTCTCCAGACAAGAGGTCATTTGGGATCTGGCCGTTCTCCATGCAGCGGACGTGTCTCGGTCACCTCAGCCTGCGTTGTCTTAAAAAAGTATACATTGTTTGAATATATGCCATCTTAAGAACGCCATTGTTGGTATGGTGACGCTTTTACTGGTTTCACGAGATGGAAAGAGTCCGGTGACTGTGTGACGACGTTACTGACTTTGACTTGGTGGCGCGAGGTAATAACTAAACAATTCCATGTTTTCCCATATTCTTTATTATTGCTTCCTAACTACGCTATCTACAGTTTATTCCTCTCCACTCAACCTCTTACATCGTTCTCCCCGTCTACATTACATTCTTCGCTTAAGTACAATAAGGTCGTGTCAATCAACTAAAGTGACACTACAAAACACTCCCCGCTCTTATTCGCTGCACGCTGTCACTTACTAACGTTACAACTGCACCAGTGAAAGGCTTGCGGGGTCTTCTCCTGCAGAGCTTAAGTCGTACAGTATTCGCTTCCGTACGATATGATACTCACAATGAGGGCGCGATACACAGCACTATTTGCGTGTGACTTTCTATTTTCACAGACGCAAAATGAAAGCTTTGGTGATAGCAACCTTTCCAATCTTTTTCCAAGCTCTGTATTGAGTGGAGTATAGTAGAAATTACATAGGTAATCTGCAGCATGACTTCCAGAGTTCCAGAGTGGTATTTCGCTATCGAGATTTAAAGTACCGACATTAAAACGACCATTGCCAAATATATATATATATATATATATATATATATATATATATATATATATATATATATATATATATATATATATATATGGGCTATCACGGACACAAACAAATTTTAAAAAAAACGTTGCGTTTTGTTTCATTATAAGTCGAGATTGAACAATCCTCTGACAGCTACACGTTTCTTTGTTCATTTTTATGGTTATCATTGTTATTAATATTTTTGATAAAGGAATAGACCAGATACATGTATACTAAGGAGACCTATTCCCTACATCTATACACAGTACTTGGTTTCACGTACTGGCTATTTATATTTGCAGGTGTCAACATAAAAAGTCAGGAACAAACACTAATAAATCACCTTGTATCGGTATCGCCTCTTGGTTACTCTAGTTGTTATTGCTATTAGGTTATTAGGTTGGAAAGTCAAGTTAAAAGGTACAAAGCTGCAGCACACAATGCAAAGAAGGCAGAAGATAAATACTGATTGTTATGACAGTACTAAACTAGATTATAACCAAGGTCTTTGTATTATTTTTTAAGGACTGTCATCAGTAAATGAATTTTAAGAGATTGGTGGCAAAGGTTGCATTTAAAAAAAAATTATTATAGTTACTTTAAAAATTTTGGGTCTTTTTCATGTTAAGATAAAATGAAAAATATCTGTTGTAATATTCATTCACCATACTAAACATCGGTTATCATTCTTCAGACAAATTTAAATTTAGCCCGTTGATGTTATGTGATCAATTCACGTTGGCTTGGTGTTGTTTTCAGTTAAAATTAATCTCTGTGAAACACTGTTTAGAAGTTTGGTAACTGTTGCACCACTAACCGTTGGCACTTATATTTGAGGAAGGCTGTGCGTGTATCCAGTACCCCAGATATTGTGGGTGGGAAATTATTTTATAGTGTGTCAGCACGTGTGCACACAACTAATAGAGACTAGTGGTAAAGTTCTTCTTCACTTGAGCAAGGTTAATGATGAAAGATTTAATGATGCAAGTTTTAAGAATTTGGTGAAAAATTCATATGCAACAAGTTTTCCTGAGGTAAACAGTATTTTTTCTCGGACTTACCAGTCTGCTCTCCTGACACTCGTCATTACTCTGTAACTATCTGGGAAATTACAAAAAGCCTTAGTTCACACCTAAGCAATGGTTATTCAACACCTGCCGTTCCTCAGAGATCAACTCTCACCCACCCTGAGCTTCAGAGATAACTTGACACTAACCTCTTCACTATAGCCTATCTTCATCGTGTCAAGTTACCTCTGACGAAAATAGTTTGACCTAGTTTATATAAGCCAATCGAATCCATGTTTCAAAATTTTTCACCAAAGTTTGGTGAAAACGCTGATTGGTTGACCGTCAATCGGCAATCCTCGGCTGATTCCGCAAGCTCCATACTAACAACATAGTTATTGTCGAGTGCGGAGACATCCGAGTAGTTCCGAGTGCATAACCGAACAC